GAAAGCCGGTGAAGTTACGTCCCCCTTATCCCTTCGCGATTGATTGATTGCATTCGCGATTTTGTTTTCGGGGTTATTTTCAGGCCCTTTTGTTTATCTACGTTTCAAGATAAAGGTATTTTATTATTTATCAATTTGTGCAACGAATTCTCAGCGAATTGTAACGACTAGATTCAGGAAATTCAAACTTTATAGGACAGTTTTGCCTGACGAGTTGCGAACGACGATCAAGCTACGCCCCCTTTGTGATGTGACCCCATTGTCTGCAAGGTCGTTATTGGGGAAACTTTTTGTGAGTGCGGGTTCTTAACGATCATTAGTGACGCACCGATTAGGAACCTTGATCTTCGATGTGGACATTTGATTTTGGTAAACTTGCTGCGTCACAGTTTTCATTTCGGTTATTCTTGGATTTTTTGCAGGACATTCCCGTGGCAGATTGACCAAAGTATTGTAAACATATTCTCACCCAGCTTCATCACACGGTAAGCGATTTTTGATATAGAAGATCTCTTGGTGTTTTACTTTGTTTATACTCAAATTTTGTTTCGCGTTTCTTTATATAAATACGTTGAATGAATTCTTAACGAAAAGCCAAGTGTTTATTTAGAAAAATTAAATTTTTCAATGCAGTTTTTTGTCTGTTGCGAATGCCGGTGAAATTACGCCTCCTCCTAACCCTCGCGATTGATTGATTGCTTTCGCGATATTTTCTAAGAATTTTTGCTGCCCCTTTTTGTTTAAATATTCATGCTACACCCTTAGTGACAAGATTTAGTAGAGTTTTTGTAAACTTCATGTTGCCCTCATCGTGGTATAGAAATTTAATAACTTTTCAATACATTTTTCCATCTATTGCAAATGCCGGTGAAGTTACGCCTCCCCTAACCCCTCACAGTTGATTGATTGCTTTTGCGATATTTTCATGGATTGGAAGCTGCCCCTTTTTGTCAAAATAATCATTCTGCTCCTTTTTTGTACGTGTTTTTCTACCGCTTTTAGACCAATTTTATTTTACAACTGCTAAGCAATTTTTCCAGCCATTTCCATTTCGACATGGAAACATGCTTTAATGAATTGTTTCTACGCGTACACTAGCGCTGAAATTTAATAACCATTATTCCTCTTTTTTTCAGGGCATTTGCGAGACGTTTTGACACCACGATTTGAATGAAAGACATTTCTTCTTTGGCCTTTGTTTCGTTATAATTTGATTGATTTAGAGGATCTTTGTATGTTTATTGTAAAGTTGAAGGATAATTCAAGATTTTGCATCCTGCTCTCAAATAGTTTCAGCGATTGATAGGACCCCTATTTCATAGATTTTCATACCCTACTTCCAATTGGATTTTTACGAGGATGTTTATGAAACACACGGTTCCCTCATTGTACTTTTACAGAGTTTGCCCCCTATGCGTTATAAACATCTATTAGATTTTGCTTTAAATGTGCTATTTAACTTTGGAGGATCCTCAACTCTAGCCATTTATTGTTACCAATCTTGCATTTGGTTTTTTACGAGGATGTTGGTGAAATACACGCCTCCCTCATTGTGATATATTTGAGGGTTTGCCTCATATATTTTGAAAACATCAGATTTTAGATTTTGCTTTAGTTATGGATTTTGTTTTGAGGATTCTCAACTCTAGGGTTGGCTCACCAATAGTAACTATTAATTGTTGTTGTTTTCAAAATTAGCAAACATTTTGATAATTATTATGATGATGAAGTAGATATTTGTTTTTCTGCTAGAAATCTGCCATTGAACACAAATTAGGATAGTTGATAATCAGTCAAGTTTTATAGCATGATAAAAAGTCCTCAAAAATGAAACATTAGTGGAACTATATATATTCTCTTTCGGCAATATTTTAGACACAGGTATTAAGTAACATTCATATAAAGATTAATTTATTTTCAAATTTGGTCGGGGTGAAGAGGAAATAGATAAATGACTTTGCTGGATGCCTCTTCGTGAAAATATCGAAATTTGAGCTTCTCCACATAAAATGGAGGTCCGGGGCAACCAAAAAACAAGTCTATTGCTTTACCAAATTTGAAGGCCTCATGCATTGGTATTAAAATGTCAAAATGAGGCGGAAACGCCCGAGCTGATATTAACACACCACCTAGCAACAATGAAATCACGTGATTTGAATCAGAAAGGAAGATTCTGTTAAAAGTAGCTAGATATATGTGAACTGTACCAAAAATAGCGTTATCATGATTATAAAAATCTCGAAAAATCATCTGACCTATAGACAATTAATTGACAAGGTCATAGTAGTACATTTAAAACGAACACCACCAACCTCTCCAACAGTTGAATGGTTACCAAATTGCTTTTATTTGGCAAATAAATTAATTAATTGAGTCCTGGATGATAGACCTACTTATAATACGTACAGTAACAAGGTTCCCACATTAAACGCAATAATTAGGCTAGGCTAACCAGGCTCGCAATTTAAGATGCCTGGGTATTGTCAGAAATTGTAATATGAAAGAACCATTTCCACAACATCAAACCTACTGTGCACGTGAAGAACGTTGAAGCTACCAATAAATATCGTTTAATTGCCTAAAAATAAACTACAGAATGTTTGAAGCACACGGAAACAGCAAAATCACACCTTTGATAATCTACTGAGTTATTGATTTAAACTTTAACTGCTCTCTCACGCTTTTCCTTCACCAATTTAGCAACCACCTTCACTCTAATAACAAATTATGTAAAAAATCCTTCCCTAATACTGCAATTTTTCAATAATGTCCTTTCGCCTCACAAAACATATATTCTCCTGTCTTCTGAGACTCATTTCAAGTTTCTCTCAAAATGGCAAACGAGCAGGCCCCAATGGTGACTGCTCAATACTCATTCGATTTAGTCCATGTTCCATAAAAAATATGTCATAAGTTCCCACACTTTATCTAAATAGACTACAATCCACTGAAAAGTTTCTACTGAATGTTATTGTAAATAGACTACAATCCTCCATAAAGTGTTTACTTAATGCTATTGATATTTATTATTATGAAATGGAAGTAAACTAGCCTTTCTTGGCGACCCCGCCAAAGCGGGGTCTTGCAAGGCCCACCTGGCCTGAGTTTCCATTCTTGACGACCCCGCCAAAGCGGGGTCTGGGTGGCCCGCCGGCCCGCGACAGCCCGAGCCAGTGGACCGCCGGCCCGCGGCACGCCCAGCCAGTGGACCGCCGGCCCGCGGCACGCCCAGCCAGTGGACCGCCGACCCGCGACACGCCCAGCCAGTGGACCGCCGGCCCCCGACATGCCCAGCCAGTGGACCGCCGGCCCGCGACACACCGAGCAAGTGACCCGCAAGCCCACGCCCAACCCTAGGAGCAAATTAGCAAAGAACGAACTAACGCCATCCCCAACACACAAAACCCCCTCACACAAAACACCAACACACACGACCCCAACACACACGACCCCAACACACACGACGTGCCCCCCGCAGAGGCGTGGCTCCCGCACAAAAGAGGCTCACGCCAAAAAGAGGCTGTGCCTGCTCCCCCGCAGAGGCTGCAAGAACCACGCCCTCTCCCATCACAAAATTCTTCCTCAAAAATAAGTGCAAAAAACACTCGCACTCCTGCAGAATTCAGCGAAAAAATCACTCGCGCTCCTACGCGATTTTTACTCGCACGACTGTCACAGGCGCTAGAGGGCGGGGACCTTTTTTTCCCCTCTCCTCCCCGCCCTCTAGCGCCTGTGACAGGAGTGCGAGTAAAAATCGCGTAGGAGCGCGAGTGATTTTTTCGCTGAATTCTGCAGGAGTGCGAGTGTTTTTTGCACTTATTTTTGAGGAAGAATTTTGTGATGGGAGAGGGCGTGGTTCTTGCAGCCTCTGCGGGGGAGCAGGCACAGCCTCTTTTTGGCGTGAGCCTCTTTTGTGCGGGAGCCACGCCTCTGCGGGGGGCACGTCGTGTGTGTTGGGGTCGTGTGTGTTGGGGTCGTGTGTGTTGGTGTTTTGTGTGAGGGGGTTTTGTGTGTTGGGGATGGCGTTAGTTCGTTCTTTGCTAATTTGCTCCTAGGGTTGGGCGTGGGCTTGCGGGTCACTTGCTCGGTGTGTCGCGGGCCGGCGGTCCACTGGCTGGGCATGTCGGGGGCCGGCGGTCCACTGGCTGGGCGTGTCGCGGGTCGGCGGTCCACTGGCTGGGCGTGCCGCGGGCCGGCGGTCCACTGGCTGGGCGTGCCGCGGGCCGGCGGTCCACTGGCTCGGGCTGTCGCGGGCCGGCGGGCCACCCAGTCCTATATACTAATATGCCTAAATTCAAATCAGGGCAAGCTCTGCTGCCCGCGGTCGGACGGTCACAAATCGCCTGTTAAAATAGCCTCCTAGATCCCTCCTCCCCGTCCTGCGCCCTCCTCTTCCGGCTGGCCCGGCTGGCCCGAACAGTGCGGGAATCGCTTTTTCGTTTCGATCTGAGTCGGCTTTCCTGCCTAAAACTCCTCGAAACAAACTTTTTTTCGGCGGAAGTTGCCTTGCTTGCGGACCTGATTGCCTCTCCAGAGAAAAGGTTACATCGGGTCGTTAAGCGTGTTAGGCTTTGTCGCGTGGGTCGTTAACCGCCACCTCTTTGTGCGGAGGGCAATTATCTCCGCAGAGTTGCTCTGCCAAGGCTCTGCTAATCACCGTCGATTTTTTTGGCACGAAAACGGTGCTGCGTCACGGCTCGCTTCTCCCTTCTGGATGGAAGTTTCGATTCGAAATTTTGGGAATCAAAACCGGTCGAATGCGACACCTTTCTCCCAAAAACTCAGCATCGTACGAGCAAAAGTTATGATTGTAATGATTATCGCCTGTACATCGCTGTACAGTACATCACTGTACGAATCCTTTGTGTTCGAGCCCTGGCTCGACCGTGATTGGTCGAAGTTTGATCGTTATCGGTGCTAAGAATGCGATCGCATTGTTTAAACTAGGCGCTCATGGTTATCATGCTCGATTTTATCTGTACGCGTTCTATCACGTGTCCGTTTTGCCATCTTGATGTGTCTTTGTTTAAGTGTTGAACTCGAAAAAATAAATGTCAAACCGCCAAAAAACTCCGTGATTTTCAAAAGGGATCTGTGATTTAAATGAAAGCAAACTAAACGCGAAAAACCCTAGCTAAAATGGACAGTTTAGCATCGACAAGAGCAGCGTAAACGACAAACTTGGCAAAAATCCTGTCCGTGTGGGGGTACGAGCCCCGCGACCTCCGAATAGACAGCAAAGCATTGGCCGCTCGCGAAGAATTACAAGAAACTCCTATTCGCATGGACTCAGCACTAAAGGACACTGAGCATTCCAAAACATACGTTTGAAGTTAACACGGACGTGAAAATGCCGAAATTTTCGAAAATGAAAGTTTACAAAAAGTTTGTTTTGGTTGCGGACGATTCAGGATGTTTCCCTTCATGATAAAACTATAGCATCGATGCGAGATCATTAAGCGCCAATTTGATTGTCAGTGCGGGTCGTTAGCGGTATTTAGGTACTCATTAACCTTTCCTTCTGCAAAGCTCCGCGGAGGAAAACCAACTTTTTTGATTTGCTAAACTTGCTGCGTCATAGCTTACCCCGCCGTTGTTTTACGCATTATAAATCTGTTGACAGCATTTTTATGTTCGAAAAAACATTTTTATTCGTTTCAAAAACAAATTGGAAGCCTTTTTTTCAATTTCGTTTAGTTTGATTGCAAAGGATGAAGGATGTTTCACTTCGTTATCAATCTATAGAATTCAGGCGAGATCATTAAGCGTCAACTTGATTGTCAATACAGGTCGTTAGCGATAGTTAGGTACCCATTAATCGTTCCTTCTGCAAAGCTCCACCGTGGAAAGACAACCTTTTCGATTTTCTAAATTTGCTACGTCATAGCTTGCCCCGCCGTTGTTTTGAGCAAAAAAAATTAATAGACGGCATTTATTATTGCTCATTATACATGAGGAAACAATGCAACCCAGGCCCTTGCAGTGAATGACATTAGGTCCAGATATCGGAGCACTTGGCACAAACAGAGCCATTATATTTATTTTTGCTCATTATATATTAAGAAACAATGCTACTCAGTCCCTTGCAGTGAATGACATTAGGTCCAGATATCTGGGCTCTTGGCACAGACAAAGCCGTTACATTTATTATTGCTCATTATACATGAGGAAACAATGCAACCCAGGCCCTTGCAGTGAATGATATTAGGTCCAGATATCTGGGCACTTGGCACAGACTAAGTCATTATATCTCTTATTGCTCATTATGAATAAGGAAACAATGCTACTCAGTCCCTTGCAGGGATTGACACTAGGTCCAGATATATGGGCTCTTGGTACAGACAAAGCCGCTACATTGATTATTTCTCATTATACTTGAGGAAACAATGGAACCCAGGCCCTTGCAGTGAATTATATTAGGTCCAGATATCTGGGCACTTGGCTCACTAGAGACATGTCAATCAATTGCTCATTTACAACATCTCAAATACAGTTATTTGGCAAAATTCATTTATAGACCGAGGCTTTGAGCATTCACCTACTTATAATCCGTACAGTTATAAGCCTCCCACATTAAACCCAATAATTAGGCTACGCGACGAAGCATAGGAATTTAGATTCATCTCATACATCCAGTATCGAGTAGCAATTAAGTCATGGTCAAAACCTATGAGGGGGAAATATAAAATATTGTCCTCCTCTTCAATAAGGAATTGCTATTGACCAACCTTT